TTAACCCTTTAAGTGCTCGTATATATATATAATACAACGATTTAACGATGCAATGTCAGTGAATTAATTAGTTGAAATTCAAAAGAAAACAAGCTGTTCGACGGTTCGCCCAGAAATGCGTCCCAAAACCGTAGTTTTTGTGCCCGCCCTTGATTCGTCGTCAGCTAAGAGGACTCGCTTCGATGTTTACATCTTCGGCTCACGGAAATCAGTCTCGCTCAAGGCGTCGTCGCTATCAGTCGCCATACAGCTGCTTGCCAATAAATAATTGCGTCTTCGCACTTCACGTACGTATATGGAATTGCAATAGAAATACGAAATTCGTCTACTAAATATTATAAAAGATATTCCGATTATTATATGATTGTTATTATATATTGCGAAAATATGGAACAAAGCTTTTTCGTAACGTTTCGTGTAACATTTTCTTTTCGAAAAGACTTTGTTTAAGGATCTGTCAAACGTACGTGAATTTGATGAATTTCCAACTGCACAGAAATTTACTCTGCATGCGAGAATAAGTTGAAAATGAGGAATAAAATTGATAAAGTATCGTTTAACACTAAATGTATAGACACTTGGTATACACCTATTAATATAGTGTGCGGTGAATGACCGGTGATTAAAGAATTAATAGTTTTTACGATTTAACTTAGATAATGGTTAATTTATAAGTAATTGTATATAAAATGATGAACTTTCATAAAATTTCCTCCAAATTTACTTTTGTTTAATTTCAATTATAGATTTAAATAGAATTACACTTTTATTTATATAGAGATATATTTTATTCAACTTTGCTGCATTTTTTACAAATTGTCTTATTATCAAATGCGCATTTGCCGTATAAATATCTCCCGCGTCTTAAACAAATTTTCATAATTTTGTAACCTTTACAATTTCTTACTTGACAAGTTTTTTCTTCTATTAGTGAATCCGAACTTGTTGATAGTTTCATTGCACGGGTTTTCCCGCGATGCTTAATATGAAAGTAACGTATGCAGCAGGTTTATAACAATTTTCTGAATTCTCTATAAATTGGCCCCATTTTGTGGATACCATTGCAAATTTATTGGTTTGTAAACGTTGGATTCTTTCGCACTTCTTATCAAATCCTATAAACCTCATAATTTCAGCAAAGTCATTCCTGCTCATTGATTTTGAAAAAAATGCAGGTCTTCAAATTTTATTCCACAAATATGAGACATCTAAATTTTTTGCTTGATATGCGAATATCATATAGCAGAGCGATAAATGCATCTAGTTTTGTTGCATCTAGTTCCCTCTTAATCCCCAATACTCTAAATACTTCTTCTTCCATACATTTTGTAAAATGATTCCTTATACGGTGATCAATGATAAGATAAAATGCCGTCTTTACTTGTCCTTTCATTATATGCTGTTTAGCATATCCTTAAAAATATTATGAACTGATGTCCTGCCAGGTTTGAGACTCGCATCTATTTCTCTCCAAACCGTCCCATCGAGCTCACTTTTCTAGAAAACAGAATTTCACCGTGTTAATTTCGTACACGCACAGTAGGCACATTTCCAAGTTGCATTTTCCCCACACAGTTCCCCAATGCAATGTTATTATTCCTGATTCTCGTCTCACTTTGAGCCATTGAATCTGCTCGGCTCCATTTTCCACCATAAATTATCCACCACCCTGTATAGACGCTCGATCGATCCAACGTTTGTACGTTTTTCCGATGAAAATCGATGAAAGACACGGTGCAAGTATATGGAATTACCGACGAGAATTACTCAATATAATATCCGGTTTGTTCAAAACGCCACTGTATTACACGATCGTGTTTGAATTTCACGTTCGAAAACTTACCACGTCTGCCGCAACAATACGTACACATACAGTATGTATACGATAGTATTTCCAAACGATAAGCTCATCCGTTCATTCTATAATTCCTTATAATTGGTAAAATGTTAATTCACGTGTGCGATCGTAACAGCCCGCGCTCGTTTCATTTCGGTTTGTTCGCTACGATAAAAATTGCATTGTTTTCGGATAATATCGTAATGTTCTGGTTGGAATAAAATTTCGCTCCAACGATCCCCAGCCATTTCATAGCTTCGATAAATCGGCCTCGTGTTGCTCGCGCGTGAATGAGAGGGCCTTTTGTGATTAAATTTCGTAAATAGTTATCGCGAACAGACCGCGGATTTTTCTACATTTATAGGAAATTTGAAGTTACACGAACAAAATGCGTGTTTAGTTGGACGAAAGAATATAAGTCGGAATAATTAATAGTCTTATAATATCACATTTTAAATGCAACGCAGGATCGCGTGCCAGATTTTGGACGTGGAAGTTAATACAAAGTACCGATCGAATGACAAAATGAAATACCGACTTGCAAAATGTAAATCATATTTGATTTAGAAGGAACTCCGCCTTTTTTTGAGAACAATCACACGTTATCTTGATCAAAACTTCCAGTTTGACTAACGTTTATTTCACCAGGCAGTGCTTGCGACGAATAAGACGTTTTACAAAAATAAATCGAGACAATAAACGAGTTGTACATGTTGAGAATCGTGGATCTTAATCGCCGAAATAAAAGTAAAGGAACACTTAGATTACGCTTAGAATTTATATCAAAATAGCTTCAGATTTATTTAATATGTGATTTACAGGATCTTCGTCGATATACATTTGCACGTGTCTCAGCACTTTCTTTGTCTCACCATCTTTTGTACCACGCTGCCAACGGAACAGTTGCATTCATCCGTTTTTCGAGACGCTGTGCACACACATACTTCCGTACACTCATACTCACATACGTGTGTCACTACTACGCTGCTAATCTAGTCTAGCACACAAAATTACACATATCTCAATAGATGTACACAATATTTTTTATCAGTCCTACTTCTGTTTAGATTCCACGACTCTATGGAGTTCGAAGAGATCGACAAACTTTGCAGCATAATGAAACAAAAACTATACTTCTTTTTCTACCTCTGATCTTTAGTGGGCTTCTACATCGCATCTATTATTCTCATACATTTTTTCTATTTTGATAAAATAATAACGTTGTTACATTATTTATATTGAACACGTTCACACGTTACTTTGTATTCGTTGGTCCTTAAAGAATCAAACCCACATAGTACACATCTCGATAGTACAGACGAAGCTTTTGCATAAGTAAAGTAATTAGACAGTTTTGATGAGCCAAAATATGACTTACACCGTTCTGCCGCCCATCACACATATATAAAGCAGTCAAAGTGTATAGCGCTTCGTTAAGTCTAACATATGTTTATGTTTATGTGTACGTTCAAGTTGAGATCTATGTTAAGCTTACTTCTGCTTTTAATTCTAATTTATTGTTAGTGAAATTACAAGGATAAGAAGATAGGTTTTGTGGTAGTAATAGGACATAAGATAAGATAATGCGAATGGAGACGTAACCGGGATCCGTGCAAAGCCAGAAGGCACGGATCACAAATAAATAATAAAACAAATAAATACGACACTTGATAAGCTTTTACAAATTCAATTTTTTACCCAAGTTTTATTTTCTTGTATAGCCGAAAATATAAATTTGCATAAAAATTCGCAATCTAATTATACCCAAGTGCGAGTATATATTCCACGAACGATTCTCTTATTAACGTTATTTCGATCGGTAGATTTGGTGCAAGTATTTTTTCAAGAAATCGAGCCTTTCGTAAATTGTTCGAAGAAACCGCTTGTTAGATGATAAGGAAACGGTTTCAACTCGTTTGCGAACTATATTCTTCAAGTTTGGGAGAAGAGCAATGAAAATGTTGGCAATATGAGCTCGGTTAGGAACGAAATGAAACGGGTCGCGATATTCTGTTCTTTGATTCTTTCCAGTTTTACTCGCTTTTTATTATTCCTCTGCCTCCTTCATTTATTCATCTTCAAAGGCTCCGTTTGAACGATCCACCGAAAACTTTTCATAAGTTTTAGATGAGTAATTGATCGAACTTTGCTCTCGTGGTTGGAAAATATTCTTAAATTATTAAATAGCACGAATAGCGTAATATAATCTCGTGGAAAATACAGAAATTTATGGAAGAAAAGGAATAGGCAAACATCGCGTCGCATCTGCAATTTTGCGTGCTGCTTGAAATTTCAAGGGAACCGTAAGGCAAATAGCCGAAGAAGCAGGAGTCACAGCAGATGTAAGGAACGTGCGTGGAATTTTGTGAGAAAGCAAACAACAAGGAAAAATGAAAACAACCGACCTTCCTTAGCAGAGAAACGGTAAGCATACTGTTTAAAGTTTACTGAAGATCATGTTCGATGCGAACAGTCTGGAAAAGTGTCACTGTCAGTGATAAAAGAAAAAAAAAAAAAATAGGAATTCGACTCGTTCGAATTAAGTTGCGTTATTATTATTTCCATGGTATTTACCATAGATTCCTTTTTACAAATTGAGATTTGTCTGGCAGAGATTGGGCAATTTTTGACGAAAGAAAAAACAAAAAAGTGATACATATCATAACAAAATATATGATTCTCGTGTAACGACAAAGGAAACAGGTGATTTTTGTGAATATTTTGTCGACTAGTTGTTAGTTACACGAAAGCAGACTTTTTTAGGATGTAAATGTAGTTTCGAATTACAAATGTAATTCTTTTATTTCAGTTCGACTTAGCGTTTCTTGTATTTTGTACAAGTCTTGTGATTATCTTTGATAATGTTACCATCGTTGGCGTGCATCTGTCGCAGTCATCAGAATGCGGAAGTTAGGAAATTTTCTTAAAGTTGCATAGTTTGCGTCGGGGTCGAACCTATTTTTGAAAGAGTAACATGGAAAATTGGAAAGTTCTAGCCTTCAGAAGAATAACTTGCCTTTTTCCACAGTTAAGCGAAGCTCGTATCGTTTAAAAAGAATAAATGATCAAATAAAAATGTAAGGTTCGATCTTTGAAGAAATTTGTAACTAAGCGAGCTCTGTTCGAAATTGGTTAATCGATTAGCGTTTCAGTTATCGTGCACGCCAGCTTAAAAACTTATTAAACGTGACAGTTTAAACAGTTAACAAACGATAGGAGAAATTGAAGTAAAAGAAACTACTTCAAGACAATGTATCTACATGGCGAAAAGCCTATGCGGTCCGTACGGACGACGCGCGACCAGCGCTGACCATCGCTGTGGACGGAGTATTATACTTTTTCGCTACACCGAACTCTGTTGATCGACTATTCAAAGCGCAAATCGTAATAAGTTATAGTGATTCTTTTGCACGAGATTAAATGATTCAAGAGCGTTATTTTTTAGCATTAATTATTTATTATAAACATTGAAATTTACGATAAACTAGAATTTGGGTAATAAACTAGAAAACGATAAACTAGAAAACTAAATTTAGTAAATATAACACGAGTTAATAATTCAGCTGTGTGTGAAAAATTTCAAAACAATTATCGATACATAATCCGATGTCGCATTTTCTGCATTCGTATCGCGCGTCGCTCCTTCTCTTATTTTTCACACAAACGACACATTTTCTTCTTGATAATTGCGTTGTGCCGGCACGATTAGGGCATTTTGATGGAAAATGCCTATCGATTAAACGAAATGGTAAATCCTCAGACTCTCTCTTTCCTCCTCCTACCATGCTTCTACGTTGGAAATATTTTCGTAAAATGTCTCTTATCAACGCTAAATGAAATTCACTAAATTTTTGTTTCGAAGCAGTAGATTTTTGATATAAAATATATGCATTATATATAAGGAATGCATTTATATTTATCTCACACAAACGTAATAGTATTACTTCTGCGTAGGTGCTCGGAAAAATTGACAAACGCATATATGCGTCCTTAGTCCATGCCGGACACTTACAGAAAACGCATATACGTGTCCTTAGTCCACACCGATAGCTTTCGCCAGACGCATATATGCGTCCATAGCACTCTAAGGGTTAAAAGAAGTCCATAAGGATCACTTGCTTCTATGGTTGTTACACGAGAATCCGCCTTAATTAACTGAATTAACTCTGTTAGAATTTAATCTTAAAGTTAAGATAAATGATCTGTGGAAGATAATGTTTATGTTGAAATAATATTAGGTGATATTTATTAAACAGAATTACAGAACCAAATGTATTTAAAATATAAGTGAGTGATATGGTATAATTAGCAAAGTGTGCAGCTGAAGAATTTATGGATTGTTGACAGTTGGCCAGTTACTCTCAGACTGACTGTACGTAGTGACCCATGGACCCTTAAAAGATTTTCAACTGCACTCTCTATACAGTAGTGAGTATGAGCTGTGTAAATGTCCTGTTCAAATGCCTGTGTAGGTGTCTGTATAATATTAATATCGTTGTATTCCAACAAACTCAAATACTCGATAAAGTCAGCAATTTGAAGTGTAATGGCAAAATATCGAATGCAACGATCGATTTCGTTGTGTCACGTTATCTAAATTCGATTTGGAAAAAATGATTTCCCCTAATTTTATACGATTTATGCGCGTTGCTGAAATAAACCGATACTATTAGGTTGTCCTAAAAGTTTCTTTCGTTTTAGAAGAAAATGATAGATGCACAGTATTTTTTGTTTTAATGCAAACGAAACGTGTTGCACGACGGGTAGAAGGCGATCGAAGTTAAAGAGCACAAAATTTGACAGATTAGGTTTCATGTTTGTATCAACATAGCCACATAAAGCAGCTGCGTGCTGATAGCGAAAGACATTTTTGGGACAACCTGATATAAACTCACATTAGAGAAATATGCGGCTTATTCTGCTTTTGCTCTCAATGTAGCTCGCATTAAATATAAATACTACTCATACTACTCGTTTCATCAAGTATAAATACTATTCATTTATAGTTAGATGAACAGTTATTGCGAGAAATGCACGAACGTTCATTAAGAACTCGTATTTATATTAAATGCATTGCACGACGTTCCTTCATATGAAAAAGGAATGAAAATGTTTGTTAAAGCAATTTTGCTTCGAACGATACTTTAAGGCCATCCATATTTTCGTAATACTGCCACCAAATATTTGTCATTTTCAAGATTCGCTACTTAATTAATTCCAACTTAGAGGATGAGCACAGTGCAGACGGAAGATTGCGCTACTTATGGGAAAATCCACGTCTTTTCCAAGTAGATGCGTCTTTGACGCTTTGTTCGGTGCTTCAATAGAAAATGGCTTGCCATAATAAACCTTGGGGCTTGTGTTCGCCGTTAACTATGTAAGCTTTTAAGGGTCTCCATCATCTTCTAGCTTCCCTTTTCACGAATATTCAAATTGCTCTGCAATCGAAGGTGTCAGTGAAGATGACTACAAAGATTTTAACAATAATTCCTATCCCCCGTAATAACTAAATGTAATTAATCAAACGTAATTAGTGAAAAGACGAATGAGAACATGTTGGGAGTTCATGCATTTAACACTAGAACTACCAGTCAAATTGATTGATTTTACAATTTTATTTTTAAATTCCTACGTCATGTTATATTCTTTTCCGCAATGATGTAATGACTTTCGCAACGATAACTAAAAGAATAGTATAATGAATTTTATCTTGTTTCTTATGTATTCAAACTGAAAATAATTTTGTATCAAGGCTACTTATACCAATGCCAGTCAAAGTGTAAAAGGATCCCGCAATCTGTTTATCGAATCTCAATTAACCAGATTCCTCGTTTTGTACAACTTGCCACACGTTTTTAAAATTTCGCGTATCATTCGATATGACGATATCAGTTATCAGGAAAATTTCGAATCAATTGCTGGATCGCTAGATGCTAACGCTAGAAATACCACACCATTCAAAATGACTGGTTTTACAATTTTATGAATTTGTTAATCCTCCTTTAGGGATCCCAGATGGATTAATAATACCAAAAATGTGTTGCATAACATGGAATTGCTTCTGTAAGAAAGTAATAAATCAAAAAAATATAAAAATATTCCATTATTACGTATTTTTTAAAGACCAGTCATTTTCACTGGTTTTGGTAGAAATAACTTCGTGTTAACTATCGCTAGTTCTAGGGTTAAGTGTAACAAATAATCGATGAATTGCGTTTAACAAACAAACAAAATTACATAAACAAAACACATAAATAAAATTGCGTTTAAATTTACTGCATACGTTGGAAGAGAAACAGGTAAAAGAGCGTTCTGTGTTAAAGAAACAGATGGTCTTTAACATAAAACTTTGCTTAGTGCATAGTTAAAGTTTTTTATTGCGTTTTAGTCAAAACAAAGTTATCTGACAGCTATAGTAATATATAGGAAGATGTTCGAGATAGCATCGATGTTGCACCTTTTTCTTCGACCAAAGTATTCGGCAAAAAAGTTACCCCGAAAAAGAACCAATACTCGAATACTAAAAACTGATTATAACTGTCATCGTTGAATGTTCCTTTCCTTATATATTGGAAAATTAATTCAAGGAAGAAGAAATAAAATTTTATATCGTACGATAGTTAATACAGTTTAGAATATTATTGACATCAGCCATCATTTGTCGAACGATTGGTTTCGAAAAACTTATATTTATTTAAAACTCCATATCGTGTTTCTTATTTCAGCCTTCAATCACAGAAAAGCGACATATAAAATTCTTCCTTGAAAGTATATTTTCCAGCGATATCTTTTGATGTTTTTAAACATTTTATTTTCATAGAGACTCAAACCCTATGGACCGCGATATTAATTCAAGCACCTTCCAATTCTTTGTTGTTCATTTCATTTTCGTATAGTTTCTTTTTTCATTTACTGTTTATGATAACGATTCATCCACACGTACGTAATTATCAGCGAATACGAGTTTAAATTTAAATGAAAAATTTCGCTTTCGAGAAATTTATTGTCTCTGTGATTTGTTTTACGCTTCGCTATTAAACACAATTAAAAAGTTGATTATTCGACTATCGCGTGCAGGATTAATTATTATAGCCTTGCAGTTTTCTTCTACGTACGTCTACGCTTATAACAATCTTTTCTTGTAATATATCTCAATTCTCCTCGAACTACTTACGCGTTGCATGTTGTAAAATTAACGTGGCCTTGGCAAAAATTACTACTAATGTGACAATGCGACTCGCATGAAGCCATACCGAGTGCTCACGCTACTAGTTCCCACCATTTTCCCCGTAAATTGTGGATTCGCGAGAAAAATGGAGAAGGGCAAAGTTTCGTTATTTTTCATATCCAATTCATGATGACCTCGATAGATTTTTTAACGTTCCATGATGTTTTTTTAATGACGAAATTGCGAATATTTTGTGACTGTAACTTTTTTTTATCACACGCAGAAATAATCGCCCTTTGTTGACGACTAATTAAAATAAAAAAAATAGTATTTGTTTCTTTATTGACAAGTTCAACGTACGTGGTAAGAATTTACAGGCGAAAACGATGAAGGTAATAATTTAAAAATTGTAGAAAAATACACTTCAAATTGAAACAGAATACAAACGTTTAATGTAATCACAAGCAAATAGTAATTCTTTCTCTATTTTAATTTAACGATACATTTGTTAACCGTATGAGTTCATTGTCGCGAGTTGTCTTGACACTGGCATTAGATATTCGCAGAAATCAGTAAGGAAGCAGATAGCTAAACAATGTTCCCTCGGTAATTTATGGTTTTCGATAGTGAACAAGGGAAGATAACGCACTGTTTGGTGTCGTCAAAACCGGACTACATGTCCGGAGATAAAGGAACACGGGAAGTTACAAAGTTGCGTGCCTTCCCATAAAAACACGAGTGTCAGCGATTTCGTAAACTTCTGTATGAATTTGTAAAAGACGCGATTCTTTGTTCGCTTCTCGCTGCAAAATGATATATAAAGCAGAGATTGAGAACAGTTGTACCACAATTTCGTTTTATATCACGAAACAGTTGCAGATCTTCATTTTGAGTAAATTTTACGAGAGAAAGAAATTTCCCGTATTGGCTCTTGTATCCCTTTTACATTATTTATTTGCAAAACAATTTCAAGATTCGATTCTCGTATGGATTTCACAATAGATTTGTAATTTCGTTAAAAACGATTCGTTATACGTTTTTATCGGCAGAAAACCAGAGGAGAGAAGAATAAATCGCGTAATAATAATTGTTTTATTATATTGCACTCCCTTAATTATTCTGTCTCTAAAACTAGGACAACTTTTGGGCTTTTGCCTCTTTGTTGTGCTTCCTTATTGTCGTTCCTCCCCGTCTTGTATTGCCCTTCTCTTCTCTATTATTGTTTTTAGTTCTGTTAGTCCTTCTCCAGTCTCGTTTAGTATTTTTTCTGTTTCCTTTGGTCCTCCCGTTATTTCGCATTCTTCTGTTACGTGTCTCAAGTCTTCTTCTTTCCTTTTGCATAGTCTGTATCTGTTTCTTCCTCTTCTTTCCAGTATTCCCCTGCTTTGGTCTCGTTTCCACATCTGAATCTTGCTAATATTTTTCTGTCCTTCCACTTCATCCTCCCGTCTAAGTATTTCGGTAACTCTTCTTTGGAAATCGCGTAACAATAATATCGTAATCTTTGGTATGTAATGTACAATACAATACGTGTTTGTAGCTATGCGATTTTATACTTAGAATTGATGCTACTTGATACCCCTAAGGTGGTATTCTGGTCTAGAGGCATAAATTTCGGGCGATCTTTGAAGCTCTGTACAAGCGAAACAAAAAATATTTTTGCTCTCCTTCTTTTTAGCATTTGTTTATTGACATTTCGAGATTACGTAAAAAATTTACTGAAAAAAAACTCAATATTTAAAAAGTTACGAGCTGGCAAAGTGGGTGCTGCCAAAAAAATGGGGTGTCGTGGCGTACATGATATCAACTCTTCTGGTCATCCGAAACAAAAAATGCGAACGGATTCTTAATTAGTATAGATGCCGCTATCGTCTGAACCTTGGAAAAGTCAATACAACATTTTTTCACAAAATGACGGCCGTTTGAAAAAAAATTTCTTATTTCGCATGTTTTTTTGACAATTCCGAACGTTTAAAAAATAGTAATATTAAAGATTTTGAGCTGAGCGTGGTCCGCACGATAGAGGAGTATATAAGGAATATTCAAACCAAATTTAAAATAAATCGGTTCATTAGAACTTGAGATATCGTGCACGCCAACTCGAAAAACGTAGTTTCGAGAAAAACGCGTTTAAAGTTTTCAGACAAGTTTACTCGGACTACGTCTACCGTATACTGTTAACTCATAAAATAATTGAAATTTTGAAAAATCCTTTTAAGGGCATATTCTTGAATCTCTAAACTTTGGAAATATGAAAAAAGAAATTTCTAGACCAGAATACCCCCTTTTAAGATCGACGAATACGCCAACGCACATACTCAACGTACTTTCTCAACTGTATTATTATATATTTTTATTCTACAGCTGCTTAATGATATATTTAAACTGCGAGATCGAAAGTTATTTTACAAACTAATTGATCAAGCAATCAGAGATTAATCAGAGTTACACAGACTCGCGCAGGTTTTTCACAAGAAAAATCTGTGCCGATATATTTGTTCGTTACCGCGTTTACAGGTTCACCGAACATTCGTAAAAAGAGTGTTCTTTCCTCTTCTGAGGCAACCAGCGGCGTAATCGTTGGCAGTTAACTGGTTAAGGGCGGCGATGAAAGGTCTCCTTGGCCTCTGAGATTTTCCGAAACTTTGAACACTTTTATCACAGTTCAGTTAAAAACGCAAATATCATCATTGTTGAAGAGCAAAAAGTAATCAACGTTCCCGTTGAAAATATTAACTCGTTGTCTGAGAAATATCGTCAATTTGACCTCAGTGATTGATCAAAGTGATCTCTTATCTGGCAGTGGCGTAAATCCCGCTGTGTCGAATAAATTTGTTAAAGCCAGCGGCCAGATTTTTACGTTAACCAAAGCCACTAAATTTTAATTTATCGCTGTTAAAATCTTTTTTCATGGCCGACAAAACGATTCGATTGTATTGTCGCTTCGGTTGGCTGTCGGCGGTCGAATAAAAATTGGTCAAAGCCTGGCTGGAGAATGAACATTTTCGAAAGTACTTCCGGTCGTATTTTACAGCAGGAACGTTGTTGCAAACGTTTATAAACGCGCGTAATCTCGCCGGCAGGATCGCCAGCAAGTAAAACATCGTAGTAAGTAATTTAAATTCAGTTGATTAACAGTTGTGCTGGCTCGTGCGCAAAAATACGTACATCGCTGAGTAGATGGGATCGCGAACGTCTATATTTCGAGCATCGATTAAAGTTTCTTTGGGCTGGCGTTATCAGTCTGCGCAACGTATTCGTCCTGGACTCGTTGCTTTATTACAGAATGTATCAAACGGTGATTGGATATCGCGTGATTTAAATCTACTCGGCTCGACCCGTGATCAGCAACGTAATTATCGGACGCATGCGAACTGAAATTGAAGCGGCTCGTTCGGCCACGTCCGGATCTCAATTCGCCAGTGGTATTCTTCTCGACTTATCTGCACGGCGCAGCACGCCACGCCACGCCACGCCACGCCACGCCACGCTACGCTGCGCTATTGCTATAGCAACACGGTATACAGCGGAAGAGCGTACCGCGATTTATTGTAATAAATGTTCGGGCGGTGCCGGTCTTTCTTTAAAAAAAAAAAAAAAAAAATCCAAGGTGCTATCGATCCGCGATTGAAAATAATGGCGATTATTCGAGCCGATCGCTATACTATGCCGTACTGTGGTACTACGGTGCCGTACGCGTCTATGGTTGCGCGTTATTGAGAACGCAGCATTGATTGTGATTGGTGTGCAGGTGCATCGACCTGACCGACGATTGATTTCGCACTTGCTTTGACACGGCACGCTTTCATCATTCGCTACGGGCTAATGTAATGAATGATGATGTTGATGCACCATTAATCACTCTGCTCTATACTTTTACGCATAAACAGCTTCCTCTCTCTGCACAATTAGCTCGTTTCCTCGGCATACTGCTCTATTTTTATTCTTATTTATTTGGCTCTGATAATACGGCCTTCGTCTCGCTCGCCATTTCCAATTAATCAACAATATTTTTTCTTTACTCCACGTACGTACTGGAAAAAACAAAATTACATATTAGGTCATCCCATAAGTTCGTGCCGACTTTTGTGTATACATTTCATGTGTCGATTTATGAACATACGGCGATAAGGGACCAATGCACTTGAGCTTAGCTGATCGAGGACAGGCTAGAGCAGATTTTCGTGGGTATAAGATCGTAATATAGCGAACACAGCGACTTCTAACAGTAAAAAATCATGAGTGAAACGCGTATCCATTTTCGATATCTCGTGTTATATGAATTTCGGAAAGGAAGTTCTGTAACAATTGCCACGAAAAACATATGTGCTGTTTACGGAGAAAATGCGCTTTCATCTCGCACCTGTAGGAAGTGGTTCCAACGTTTTAGAGCTGGGAATTTCTGTTTAGAAGACGAGGAACGTTCCGGGCGTCCTCCTCAGACAGACAAAGATAAAATTCGGGATCTTGTTGAAAAATCACGAAGTTTGACGGTTCAAGAGATGTCAAATGTTCTAAAAATACCTAAGACAACGATTCATAGGTGTTTAAAAAAAATAACATATATAACCGCTCGAAAAACGGCACGAACTTATGACATGACCTAATAGATTCACGGACTTCGACACTCGACTGTGTCAAGATAAAGACAATGTAATGTACGCGTGATGTCTCGAAACAAATGGTATTTTAACGACTTTGGCATATTAAAGGAATAAAATCGTGTATATCGATCGAACGCTTTGAAATATATTTTCCACGAACGTTATTCGCGAACGTTAGATAGGATCGAGATATACCAAGGTACATAGAACATTCCCTTGATGATCCAGAACTCCAAAATTAAATCGGATGTATGTGTTCATCCGAAATTTTTTACGTTTCTCAATAAAGTTTGCAGCATCAACGGATCACCCGGTACGGATGCTTTAACTTTAATGCCATTTAAAGGAATAATTGCGTGAAATCCGCGATACGCGATTCGATTGCGGTCTCATCAAGTTTATTAGAAATTTCAGAGACCAAGCTGCTCTCGCGTTATTTCCTGTCGTGCCGCACCGCGATCGATAGTTACGTAACTATCGATTCCGTTTGACGCAAGTAATCCGATAAGATTGTTCGCCGCCAACACGTTTTAATTCACGTTAATCCGTGGCAGCCGAACGGCGGAAGATTTAATCAGCGATGGTTTTAAGGAGAATCGTTTTACCCGATTATTTATGGATGTCACGGTGAACGCTGGCCACACGCGCGTATATGAAAATCGCCTGAACGTGACGATCTGTCGGCACGTTCGACTTTCCGCCTACAGAACCGCCGAGGATTATTGTCCATTAGTCGTTGCGCTGCCGCAAATCTGCAGAAACCTCGAGCAGATGGTTAATATTCGGACGCGGCAGCGCATGGTCGGGAATTCTAAAAATTTCCGCAACCTATATATGGCTTTCGTTGTTTTTACTTTGCATATTTTACAGCGCGTCGCGGAAAAAAACCTGGCCAATTAACGTCACGCAACAAAGTAAAAATATGGAAAATAGGCGACTGTTTGTTTAAACGTAGCTTATTCGATTCGTCAAGTCGACCGAGCGTTATAGTTCATCGTATTTTACGGATGCTTCAGCTTCTTTCGATTTCGCGAAATTTCCTGAAATTGAGTAAACAGCGATGCAACGAATATCAGTGGAATCGTTGCAATTCCCTTTGCAAGCCGCGATATGGAAAAACGGAATTCGACGATGGAAATGGAAAAAGGAATCTTTGGTAAAATGTTGCGTAAATGTAACAACGTTGATGATTCGTGGGTTAAGAGCAGGGAATATTTACTCGTCGTTAATATACTTGACTACGACAAAGTCAAGGCTACAAGAAACAAATGTAACAGCGTTGCGACGTTAATAACAACTTTCCTCTGCTCGTGCCATCGCGGTTTCCTACCCTTTTCGAGTGTCAGTTGATTGCGAGATTTCAGCGAGATATTCGTTTCGGTGCTGCGCGTGGAAAATTCAGCGCGGCTCGATCTATCGTCTTCTAACGATATTCCGAGCGCTTAAAACGAGAACACCGTGCTGACATGACCGAAGAGAAAGGAAGAAGGAAAACTTCAATCTCCGCTCTCGGTATGTCGTTTCAGACGAGAATTCGCGTGCTCGGTGGTCCGTAATAAAATTAATGGAGCGTAGCAAGCGTCGCGAGGACGTTCTCCTTCTTTCCCTCTTTCCGTTTCCTTCGGCGACTTGCGCTTAAGCGATTCGATGTTTCAATTTCCGCGCGTTCATTGAACAGCTTACGCATGTAAATATCACCGCCAGTTGCCGTAGCGATTCTGCGGTCACGAAACACGCGCGTGCCTACGCACAATTGTCTGCCGTGAGTTGGTAAATTATTTTTAAGCTTCTTCTTGCCGTTGTCATTGAGCAGACTGGCGCAGATAAATGGGATCGCTCGAAAGTCTGCTCTGTTTCTTTTGTTGCGCGAAATATCTTTTCATAAGCGTTTTACGAGAAGATTGTTCTTCGATTAGATTGTTGGCAAAATACTTGTTTTCGCGTCTTGCTAATAGTTTCTTATCGTTCCACGATCTAGCGATTTTTAGAAACAATTTTAGCTGCCACGTATTAGCTTAGTAATATTAAGAATACAATAAATTTTTTTTTATTTAAAATTTCACATTCACAATTTGTCCAATTTGGACGTTTGGTAGAATTTTTTATCTGTTTGATTATCATGTGGGTGGCTACCCCAATGGGATACCATCTTCGTGTTTGTTAAGATATATCCTTTGTGAGATCTGCTGGGTGTTTCCTTTTTAGTCTTCTTTCTATGGTTGAAGAATATAATAAATAAAATAAATATAAGAAATAACAGGATATTTTGTCTTCTAATGCAAACGAAACGTATCCTACGACAGTTAGACGGCTGAAGATAACAACATTTGACAGATTAGATCTCGTGTTTGTAGGAACATTGCCAGATAAAGCAAAGTAGATAGCGAAAGACACTTCTGGGACAACATAGTGTATTTAGTTTGTATAATATCGTTACGTTCGTAATTCAGCAAAAAATTTAAGGATTGCTAGTTTCGACGGAAGACAAGTTGTAATTTGTCACAGGGAAAAGGATAAAAGTTGTGAAATTGCAGAATCGTTCGAGTTAATTGTAGGAAATATCATTGGATCACACAAAGGAGAAGATTGCATCGGATTTGAGGAACAAAGAGGACAAGGTCTGTCTTGTTAAAAATTAATTACATCTTATTGTCAGGAGAAGATTATTTATTTTAAATTATTCATTTTAACTTATTGAAAAAATTGCTTATTTTAGGAATCTGTTAAAAATCTACCATACGTATAATTGAACGGTATTGTTAATAGGGAATTATTTGTTTTCAAGCTACAAAATAAATAGTTCCATTTCCGTAGAATAATCAACAATAATCAATAGTCGCGTTATACCTGGTATACACGAACCCTCGAGACTTCATTCAAAATTTAAATCCTCAATCCTCACCCTCGTGTCAATTTTACGTAGTTTTCCAGCAAAAGATTGTATTGCTAGACCATTTGTAGAACAATTTTTCTGAAACTTTTTAACCTGTATTTTTTTTTCTATTCTTTGTAAAGAATATGGAATCTGCATAAAATAATTCTCAGAATTAATTATTTATCCCTGCATTTTATCGATTTGTTACCATTGTGGCACATTGACATTAAAATACGAAACTGAGCAACTATATGCCACATACGTATCGTATGTTTAACCCTTTGCACTCCTATGTCGAGTGTGACATCAGTTTTTATCTGAGGAGCTCCTTTGTCGAGTCCCACTCGACGTTCTTTCAGTCCCACAATTTTTTGTGAAACGCGCTAAAGAAAATCAGAATTGCATCCTGGAAATTGTTTCAAGATATTTACAAAATGCAACAGTAGTGTGAATAAAACTGGTATTTAAGTGAATTTGTTTCTCCCTTTTTTATTTAAATTGTCTTATTTTTTAGTTAAAGTAAATTTCAAATAAAACAGTTAAAAGCGTTGGGAGCTGCTGGTAACGAAATTGAGATAAAATTCGGAGTGCAAAGGGTTAAAACACTCGTCAAAACTGCTCATCAAGAACCTTGTTAGGCAAAAGAGATTCGTTGTAAGTAAATAAACACGCGTGTTAACTATTTTACGTTCGACTAATACGCTAATAATTAGCGAGTGTGAAAACAGTTAAGAGCCAGTATGTTGCAATATACCATTAGGTTCACTTCTGCTGGCAAAGTAGAAAGAGCGGATATTCGTCGCAATAATAAGATAAGAAATTATAGTAGATATAATTTACCGTGTCTCTCTGGATCGCAGATTTATCGCAGAATCGCTGGTTGCTCGACTTAAGAAAACGGTTTGTACAGTTTCAAAAAGTAACACCGTTTGTTTAGAAACAATGACGATAAATTTCAGAGAACGTGCGGACGAAGGATTTAGAAGTGGCGGCAATGAGTATAAACGAGCTGCCATGAAACTTCATTTAAAACTGAGAAAAATGTTTAAGCGAAAACATTACTCTTTTGGTTAATTTGCGGAGGTTTGTGAGCGCAGATCGTTGCCAGCGATTAGAGAAAATATCGTCGTTCTTGGTCCTATCAACGCGTAAAACGACGTGATATCGAGTGTATCGAACCTGTCGCGTGTGTCTTCCTCTTTTCGCGACGAACGCGGACGAGCGTTGGATTATCCCGGGCTCGGAAAGCCGCCTAGAGAATTGGATGCTCACTGGTACCCACGACCTCGAGACACTCGACGTTTTCACTTGTCTTAACACATTTCCGACGGATTACGTAGCAGTGTTACGTTGCGTTATCGACGCAGTCCTACGCTGTTAGCCGCCTGTTTTTCCCAACTAACGTTTCTCCTTACTACGCTAAAGAAATTAACCGCCTACTTTTATTTATCTATTCGTGAAACGAACCGTTTGATACAAAAAACACAATAAGCTAGGAGAAATATATATGTCGGAGATAAAGGGACATCGGACCTTTCTTTTGGAATTTTGGAAGATTCCCAATACTTTGGTCTAAACTATTTATTATAGCTGTACCTAAATAATAGAACTTAGAAGTAGTTGTTGCGATACGATCTGATTATGTTTGCCCGACAGTTTATATTATTATTATTATATTTGTTTTTATATTTGTGACAGTGGGCTTGGGTTCGAGGTGACACAACTGGTCGCCGAACGTAGCCACGGTCACGGGATGAACGTTTTTACCTAACAGAAGAAGTACCAATATCGAGGGACACACGTTGTATTAACAAACAAGCCCCGGGCACGAGCAATGACGGCTCTACGCGGGTCTGCCTAGTAACGACGCCTGGAATTTTGTCGATATCCCTGGTCAATATGCAATTGACAAATGTGATCGTATCAGTCTTTTATTCTTGTGATCATCGTGGAGAGTTTACACACATCGTCTTGTCAGTCAGTCAGAAAGATACCGTGCGTCACAGCTAACGTCACTTTGAGTTTCAAAATATATTCAATTGAACAAAGAGTTTTCCCGTTGACCGTGGATTCGTTATTGAACCTAAGAACATTATCTTTAACATCGAGAGTGTCTAATCACCAGAG